TTCGTGATGTGTGCGGCAACCTAAAGTGGGGATACCATCTCTCACCGGACCTTTCATTGTCCAATTCCTACAATTTTACACTTTCCACCAAAATCGAATCAAATCAAGTTGAAAACATATAAACATGTATTAAGTATATTGAGTTGCATACATTTCTTACTTGGCTAACCTTGACTTTTACGCCATTTTTTCCCGGTTTGCTATTGAGTTTATCAGTTATTATGTTCTTATACGTGCTATATTTAAACTAAAGGTCTTAAAGCTTCGATGGTAATTTATTACACGTTTATTATTCGCACTCATGCGAATGTTGCGCGGTCACGTGACCGGCTCACGCGCCCTCTTGTTCACCTTTCGCAGCGGCAAATCCCCTTCGGGCCAACCGCAACGTGAGTTGCGGATAGAAGACTCGAAATAAGCTCACGAAAAAAAGTGCGCAGGTAAAGGTTACAATGCTCGTACACGTATTCAGGTGACGATGGCAGAACTCGCACAATGCATGTAGATACATGCATGGAGTAGTCGGAAGTCGGCGGAAACGAAATTGAAAATGTTGTGCGGCGGCGGTCGGGGTGCGTTGATTGCATTACGAGTGTTGATTTATGCATAGTCTCGAATGGGATGCGAATCGATCGATGGCGGCCGTGGCATTCGCGAAACGTATGTAAATTTATGCAAATCCGGCAAATGAGCAAACACGCCGCCACCACCGCGAGCACAAGTAGGCAATTTTCCATTTTTTACTAGTTTACGAGCCTAATTAGTGGATTTTATGCCATAAAATATGCATTTATTATTAAGGTTATTACTTCTGCTCTGGTGAATTATATCAAAAACTATAGGCAACCAATTATACATCATATTATTCATTTTCATTAATTTTCCGATAAACATTTTAATGCAATTTTCTTAATTAACACAAAATGGAAATAATTACAATTTTTGATTGTACACACATATATTGCGTGTTTGTCGCCCATGCGTGTTGCAAATCGTCCTTAATTGTATATTACGATTACAATTTCGTTTTAATTATACCGCATGTCAGCCCGAGTGCAATTAAAAGCGCATAATTTGCATGTGCGCTTTGCAATTGCCAGATAAACGTATAAACTACCGCTGTCCGAGTTGCGCAATTTATGGCATCCACTGAAACTTAGGCTTTTACACGCCTGTGATATTTCAGTTTATATTTTATCTTCTTTTTTTAGATTTTGCAGTGATAAATGCAACCAAGCAAAAATACGGACAAGTAAAGGGTGGAAAAGTCAAAAGAATCGTGGTGAAACGAACGAGGGCTCAAACAAAGTTCAAACGACGCAATTTCGCACAAATTTCCGCATGGCTGAAGTGATATTCATATTTTCATCCGGTTCCGCGTTTTTTTTATAAGAATTCTGAAAGCCGCTTTACATTTTTATATGTGAATTAGTCCTACATGTATTTTCCAACATAAAATAATCAATTATCATCTTATAAAACAAAATGTAAAGTTTGTATTTGCATTATTGTGTTAATATTGATTCAATCAATGAAAATACGAAGATGCTTTAAAGAAGGAAATGCTAAACGTGATTAATTGATGATAAACCAATTTATTAAGTGATATCAGCCGTTATGAATGTGTTTCCGGCGCGGCTAATGTATTTTCCTGTGCGGGGGTGCGCGTAATGAACACTCGGTATACTAAATTAATAGACAGAACTCAAAGGGATGAACGCAACGTGCCGCGGAAACTCGTTGTTTATGTGTGGTTTACACGCGTTCTATTTAATTACGTCGCTCAAAGCTTCGTAACATGGCTGTTACATGTTACATAGCCAAGTACGGAAATGAATATGCAGTAAAATATTAAACTTTTTGATTAGAAATTTCGACGAAAATTTTTTGCGAATGTTAAATGTTTGAAATGTAATAGAAAGTTGTGAAATATCGACCTTAATCCTCAACTCGGCGGGATTTGCGAAACGCTTGCTGAACTTTGCAATCGGTGCAAGTGAAACTTTAACTCACTTTCCGGGGGACATCGAAGAGCAAAAGCTTGTTTATTCCGTTTTCAGTCACTGATTATATTTTATAATTTAAACTTTGCAGAGAAAGCGGTGTTAATAATGTTTTATTTCAATAATTGCTTAAAATTACCTAAAATTACTTCATTATTAATAAAATATAAGTAATAATCCGTGTTAATACATTTTAAAATCATGGTATTAATAATTAATTGACTGGGAAATAAATTTTAAGCGTTTTTATTTAATTCATAGCGATTTTCACACAATAAACATTTTAAACTTATCCAGTGGTGCACAACGAGTGCACATAGTGCTCTTGTGATTGTATCATTCTCGATAATGCACTCCTGCCCTAGAGCCCTTTGTAGCTTTGGCGCTTTGTAAACCAGCGCGCCTGCAATCAACCCTTACAAGCCATGCGAGCACAAATTGCGGCGTGTGGAAATTCCGCAGGTATATGAATTTTCATTTCTACCACAATTGAAATTCCACTTTCGCATTTCAGCATTTTCAATCATCGTTTTCATTTCGTGCTTTTGTTTTAGATTTAGTTTGCGTTTGTTTTGTTCACATCGGTTTTATTCTGTTCGGCGAGTATTATCGCTATAGATGTACACATCGCAAAAACGCGCGATATAATCACGCCGTAAATGTAATTCATGAACGATGTAGGTACTTGTGGCACGCAATATTGCACACATTCCACATTTTAGGCGTATTACGGTCGCGTTCCGTACGGCCGTTATCGTACATTCCGGATGTTCGCGTCTCACATGGCGCGCTTGTTATCGCCAATGCGATTCTCGATTTCGATGCGTTATCTCTTCGTAACAGTTTCCCTTATTCGAATTTCACATTGAACATGCCGTATATTTTTAGAAAAACATTAATAAACTCACGCCTGACAAATCGTTGGAGTGCAAATACTCTCAAAACCTAATGTTTCGATTTATAATCCGTCTTAAAATTCATTTCAACCTAATTATAATCACAAATCTCCTTCATATGTGTAATATCCGGTAACATGTAAGATCTGTGACGTGCAGAGACATATGAGACGTCCGGAAAATATATATACAAATCAAAAACGAGCATCCGCAGCGATGGAAATGAAATTGGAAACTCGTGTGGAAATGAAAACTGTACCTTCAGTTGAAAGCTTAGTGCTACTCATGGTCTCAACTTTGACGACACGTGTCACACATGTGTCACATTTCAACTGATACAATATCACTAATCATAACAAATATTTACAACATAATTCTCGAAATACATATTATACAAGTGATAAAATACGTGTTAATGTTCAGTTTTAATTGAAATAGCATGTGCTTTAATGCTTGTCATAAAAATTTACGAGCTTTATTGTTTATTTCAGCACAAGGCGTTAAAATACACACTGTAAATCTATTTAATTTATTTAAAATGTTGAAATTTAACTTACCGGTTCGAAAATTCGAATAGAAAGGCAGTGTTTGTTTTCAAACAAGATTTAAGATCGAGAAACCGCGTCGATTTTAAAATATCTACAGCAATGTGGGTATTATGTCACTAATGGTGTTTTGAAGGGGGCACTAGTGATTCTAGCGGCGGTGCCTGGAGGCGGGAGAGCGGCTGCCGTTATGCAAGACTTCGATTTTCGGCGTGCGTGTGCGGTTCGTATCCTGCCAGACTGCGGGACTGCGGGAGTGCGCACCGTGCGCGGCAAAGCTACAACTGAACCTTTGCCACCGCCACGGCCGCCGCTGCCGCTGCCGTCATCACCGCCGTCGCCACGAACTCACTCGAACGCCTTCGATTCGTTTCGCTCGCATTGAAAACATTGCAAAACCCAACCAGGATATTCATTCGGCGTCTTTTTTGTGTTGTGTGTAAATAAAACAATTGAATTCTTGGAATGTACGATTTTATCCGGAGAAAATCAATGCAAAACCCGAAGCAAATTCAATCTGTAAACAATGTGAAACAATTTAATTCCCCAATCGGGTTCGGTCGTTGGTCTAATTTAGCCAATTGTTATAGTTTCGAAGCATTCGATGCGTATTTGTTGTTTTGGACTTGTACCACGCTTGTAATACGAAGTGGTCCTTTCGATGTCGTGTCCTCGACTGTCGGCGTATGCAAATCGATATTTCATTGCCGTTACCAATACGCTTCAATGTCGCTTCGAATTCGAACTCCCACGCTCGTATTGTAAAGTTTCATTGTGTCATTCTCATTAATAGTCGAAATACTCAACCAGCTGGCCTGCGGCTGACGGTTACCCGAAATACCAGCAACTTTCTGCAATATTACGTCAATAATTATTACGATTGAATTATTTCTTATTAATTACAGATGTTTATATTGACCCAGGACAAGAATTTCTCTCAGGATCTGTAAAACAGTCGAATCCAGACGATAGACGTCAGAGCACGCGCGTTCGATGAGGTCCTTCGAACTCATGACGTCAGCGAGCACGAAAACGCCGACGAAGGGAAAATGGAAAATGTTTACGACCGCAGCAAGTTCAACGTTCACACAAAACATACCGAAGCGAAATATATGAGCGTCAAAAAAAGTGAAAGCAGCGCTGATGCGATTAATATAAATTAGTTAGCAGTTTGATTGTCAACGGCGGAACGATGATGTTGCTGGTACGCGAAGGAGATGAGTAAATATCACAATTACTTTGCCTCGCGTTGAATCTTGCTATTGTGTGAGGGCTCACGCCGTAATCTTGGGCGTTAATAATAGATGTGTGTCGGTAAAGAGCGACGTCGGCTGAAAGTGAGAAATTTGCATATTAATCAGGCGAGACGGAGCGACGACGCCATGCCCGGAAGGAGAATGCTCTTCCTGCGTTGTATCCTTTTTGACATACTTTCTTCTTATATTATTTTATGATTTTTTTTCTCTTCGTAGCTCCAACAAGCCGGTTTTTGGGTAAGAAAAATTCTTTATTCCTGAAAATATGATTAAAAATGAATATGTTTGTGTTATGCAACCAACTATACACGTATTTTATTTTTTATTAATAATTTTAATAATAAAAACAATTTATATGTGTGCTGTGGATGTTTCTTCATTGATTTCTATAATTCTAGCAATCTGATTTAAAGGAACCTCTAAATTGGTTTCTGTCACATTGTTTTTCTTTTTATTTCTCCGCCATTTTAAGATAAAGCAACCGCCAAGAAACACCAAACACACAGTGCCAACGCCAGCAACAATTCCTATTGTAGATGCAACAGTTAGTCCATTGAGAATAACCACCACTTGCATGTTTTTAGATAAACTCTTTGTTGCCAAGTTGGCGTCTGGTGAATTGAGACGAGTCAAACATTTCCACCGCCCGCTGTCTTCTTCTTTCACATTGCTGATAATAATCCCACACTCGCCGTAATTCAATCCTTTGCCAACGTATTTATATTTTGTATAAGCTGTGGAATTCTTTTTTGGTGATACGTGATACGTGTTATCGTATGGGTCTTGAAACGCGCAGTTCACAATGGCGGAAGTTGCTTTACACATCAATTCCAGATAATTTCCTTCGTTAATTTCCACATTGGCTGTTAATGTCTTCAAATCATCGTAAAGCATGACTTGGATGATTACTATCTCGTCTTTAGCTTCCATAGGTTGAGAAAAGTGACATTTCCAATCACCTAAATCGGTTTCATGGATTGATTTTACAGTAACACTGCAGTAACCAGCGCTAAAGTTAGTTTTATTTCCGCCTACATAGACTGTTCCATTGGGGGCAGTTAAAAAACAATCTTCGGAACTGTAGTCAACATTACAAGCAATTTCTGCAGACGCTTTGAGAGTGGTAAGAAGTATTTTATTTGTTGATTCTGTTTGGTTCTTATTTTTAATATCAACCAGAGCGAAACCACCGGAATCAGCTATGAAACACTTCCAAGAACCTTTTTCATTTGCGGCAATTGGTAGAGGAAACTCTAGTTGACATGTGAGATCTGTTAAATTTGTGCCTAAAGTTGAATATCTTTCAGTAGCACCTGCTTGTTCTGAAATGGTAAAAACTTCTCCATTCGGACGTATCATTTGACACCATGTTGTTTTAATGCTAGGCAACCAATCGGGTCTTGCACCGCTCAAATAATGACAACCCACATTACCATACCCGTTCGATTCATTGTACCAAGCCAACATTTTCCAGTCATCAAACAGCTCCAACGTCATGTAATCAATGTTCGCTGCCATGTTGTTTTTCAGACCTGTTTTACACGTCCAAGTGCCGAGATCTTGCATAGTCACATGCTCAATGTGAAGCTCGCAATGTTTTTCATGTTTAATAACTGCGCCAGATGGATTTATCAGCATGCAGATGAGGCCTGAAGCAAAATTTCCACAATCGACCGTTGCTCTCTGGCCGAGTTCAACAATTACTGTTTTGTTTTTTTCTTTCACCGTGTTATCTGTAAATAGGAAGAAAATGTGGTTTTTTTTATTTATTAAAAATGAAGGATAAGTTTATAGATATAACTTTACCAAAGATGTCCACCGAAAACGATTTATTAGCGTTGAGTTTTTCACCATTTTCATGGTAACTATATGAGAGAGTAAACAATGTTGGATCTTTTGGGGCATAATCGGTCATTGTGAAACCACAAGTTTTCCGGAATAATGGTTTAATTCGTTTCTTAATATCATCCTAAAATAATTTCTTTTTACTAAATTTTCTTTAGAATAATTTTTCAATAACTTACGTTTTTTATTTCTCCGGATATTTTTACTTTTTCCGAAACTAACGTTAAAGCTACACTCTCAGTTTCATTATTTGTATTAACAAAACTAAGCGCACAATCTGTTACAATTGTATCTGCAGTATCAAAGTAGATATAATTCATTAACGTTGCTCCTTCTTGAATTAAAATAGGCGACAAAATTTTGAGATATCCTTTTGCTCCTAAATAAATAAGTTAAAAAAAATAGTAAGTTATATAATTCTTACGTACCACTGTATTTTATGGCAATAGATAAAATCACCAAACTCATAATTTGCCTTAGCATCATTGTTGTCTGAGGAGTTATTTAAAATTAAATCAGACAAATGAATAGAATCTTAAATCTATTGATAATATCTAGTTTGTGCACTCTCAAGATTAATCTCAGCACTTCCCATAAATTAAAATTTAATTGCAAGTTTTTATTGTAAAAATTGCAGAATATTTGAGAAAACCTTATTTTGTATTATTTATCTTGAAAAAATTTTGTTATCAGAATTTCAGTTTAGATAAAAGTCACACTGAAATTCTTATATTTGTATTTTGGAAGAATGACCTTCGTGGAATTACCTATGGCTTTGCAGAGTAGTTATATTTAACATAGGCAACTTTATTAACATGTGACATGTCATAAAATCTGAAGTGTTTTGCTATTTTTGTCACACTAGTCACAACTTTGAATAGATTGCGTGGTCATATGAATAGATAAAACCCAAAGAAGATAATTATGGACAGAAGCAAGTATTAATTGAAACTATATTCGATTGAATGTGATAGCAAGATCTATTGGCACTTTATTTGGACTTATTAACCCTACAAAATGGTAAGTTATAATTTTTACATTTAGCTTTTCAATAATTGTTATAAAAATTGATATTTTAGGCTCCTAAAAGAGAGGTACCTCCTGCAATCAAGAAAATACTTGATAAAGATGTTGAGATTACTAAACACTTTTATGTGCTTGCCAATAAAATCATCCCATTGGACAAATGCAAAACCTATTTTAAAGGATTAGAGGTAAATTGATTTTAAGAAACTCATCATTAATGGTTTTATTTGACTGAAAATTCTAGATTTCCTGTCATGGAATTCCTTGGTTTGCATTCTGGATTTGTTTTACTTGGCTGTTCAATGATCCTTCATTGATTCAAATGCAAATAAACATGCTGCTTGGTAGATGAGTCAGTTGGCAATTATAATTGTAATGATAGTAATAATTATTATTTTTAGGTTTAACACTGGATATTTTATTTGTTGCTTTTATCAAGGCTTACACACGACGACGTCGTCCAGCTGCAAATACTGATGATGCTTTGGGTCAAATTGGTCCAGATGTCTTCAGTTTTCCATCAGGGCATGCAAGTCGTGCAGTATTTGTCACTTTCTTTTTCATGTGGCTTCATCCGTTGTCATTGTTACTCCAGCCTTTCATTATTACTTGGTGTGCTGCTGTTTGTGTGAGCAGAGTACTCTTAAGGAGACATCATTTACTTGATGTTGTGGCTGGAATTGTACTGGGAAATTTTATTGGATTGCTGCTGGGTGTGTTATATGTCAGCGACGATACTGCAAAATGGCTTATGAATAACTTATCCGACGAGAAATTGGATGGAGGAGATTTTCATGTGTGAAGTAAGGATATTAATTGTGTTATTGAAATGTTTTTTTGGGTTATAACTATTATAAACGTAATATTTTAAATGTATTTTCATGCAAATATTTTTGGGTACAGGATAATTCGCGAAAGAAGGTCTCGAGGCTTCGTGGTTCCGTGCCTCTAACATTTTTGTCCCTTGTTAGTTAAAGATTATAAATAGTCATAGGACTCCTGTTTGATAATATCAAATGAGTTTAGCACTTTGGACGACTGTTCATAGACGTCGCTAGCATGGCCATTTCAATCAAATCTGATTTAGTGAAACCAAGACAATACCCTAAAGAAACTTATGAAATAAAAAAATATACCATTATTTTGTTTTTAGATTCAAATAAGAGTTTAAAAATAATAATGTAATAATAATAAATCTTCGAATTTCTGCGCAAAGTCATAGGTGGCGCTAGTTATATCATTTGACCATTTATTTAAAATTATTTCCAAAAATATATAGAATTTCTCGCATTTTATAAAGTGAAAGAAATGAAAGAAATTTGAAAAAGACTAGACTACGTCTAAGATAACTGAAATTTAATTTTGAATACAATTTGTAAGGCAGCACCCTAACCACTTCGACACCTTCGTACTTTTCGTGTTTGTCTTTTTAATTAAACGCTACACCACGTCGGAACGGTCTTTTTCTTTAATTTCTTTCCGGAAGTTTTGTTTGTGAGTCTCGGTGGTTTATTCGTTGTTTTGTGGTGCAGTTGCATTCAGTTTTCATTCAGGAATCAGCCATGAGCGGCGGGACTCGAATCACTAGGACTATGTGTTCTCGCGTGTCGGCGGCGGCGCGCTCCGAAAACTCTCCAAGTGCATGCGAAACGAGCGCATTGCACGTCGGCGGAAAGAGGTCAGGGAAAAATCAATAAAGGTACGCATACCAAGACGCGGCCGAAGACCGGGAGCGATAAGGATGCACGTCCGCGGCGTGGGCGGGTTGGAAAATGCACGCGCAGGGATGAAAACGTGCATTTCGCGTGCGAAAGAGGCAAGACGCGAGGCGCGCGCGGCGTTTCGATGCAAAATCGACAAAGAAATATATTGGACAAACTTGGAAAAGGTAAAACATTCTAAATATTGCAGATGGTAATTTACATTTTACAAACAACTACAATTTTTATGTGTAACTTTTGTTGCATTCCAAAATTGGATAAAAAAACATAACTCAAGACATATATCTTTTTACTGATTAATGTCTAATAATAATTTAAACATTTTAATCACATTAACTAGCGTTTTAAGCTATTTAAATTTATAAAAATAACAAAACTATTTATTTTAATGTTTTAGTCACTCTGAGAGTTTTGGTGAGTTTGATCTGAAAGTAATCTAAATTCTATCCTGATTTGCCACACTCGGTCCGCATAGTAAGCAAAACGTTTATCGTTATAGTAGCAGAAGAGGCAAATAAAGGCATCAAAACAGTTTCATTCAGAAGCCGAGCAGGTTCTACACGTAGTCGTATATCTGGTCGCGCGTCGCTGCGGCCTACCGAAGGCATTCGCTTCCTTTTGCTCCTCCGCCATCGCGAGCACGTATCGCGCCTGCTGCCTGCTGCCTGCGTCTCGCCTGCTATCACGATCGTGTCCGTTTTGTTCGCTTTGCTTACGCGGGCTGCACCGCGATATGAACCCGGTGCTCTTCTGCTCTTGTTTTCATCGTGCGCTCGCACTTGGTCCTGGTTTCAAGTGCGAATAAACTTGACCCGCCGCAACAATGCGGCGATAAATTACACCCGCCACGCATTATGCAATTTCATTAATGAAAACGAAAACTCGCTGGGGGCCCGAAATGCCTCCCAACTTGCTCAAAATATTATATTTGAAGTACATTTGTAGGCATGCTTTATTTTTTCTTTGGAAGAAAACTTTCAGTTACAACTTCTTGATAGTAAACACAGAATATTATGTAAAGAAACAAATTGTACATACGTCAATAATTTGTTTACAGTTGAAAAATTTATAATTTCTTTGTTATTCGTTAAGAAAACTGAAATTCTAAATTTTACGATAAGGAAACAGTTTATTCTCTGGTCAGAAATGCAAAATTCAATAACCGCGATCGAAGTTTGTTTACTACCTTAGTTATTCCTGATGCCTAATGGCCATAGTTCATTGCATATCGCATATATTTATTTATATCAGCGATAGATACGTTTTCCAACGTTCGCCGCGACGAACGCTAGAATTATAAAGGCATTATATGTCGATTAACGTCTTCTAAATATCGCGTAATCACGGCGTTCCGCTCGCCTTTCCGTCTAAGTACTATTTGAGAACGAGAACTAACCTCGCCAACGTGCAACGGTACCATGTACACAGGACAATATACAGGATGTGTTTACAATCCTGTCAATCAGTCCAACACACACCAACCACACCGCCTCAACTAAATCAACCTGTATCCACTTTTATCTAATATAATTTAAACTCGCGATCGATAAAATGCGCGAATTTAGAATGTGTGCTTGCAGCGGAAATAATACTCCACTTTCAACTGCAGCCTGTAATTAAAATTATAAGACATTTATTTGCAGCACAGGATAATTAGTTGAATCAAAAATGCATATTTATATACATTTTTTGTTTATGTATAGCACATACAATTTCCTGTTTGGCTGCTATTTTAAGATTAATCTGTATTAAGTTATAATTAATTGTTCCGACAGTCGCTGGTGCCTAAGTATACTCGGCGTGCGTTTCTAATAGTCAGCGCAATGCGCATTGGCAATAATTAAAATGATTGCACGTACGATTCGCATTCGAGCTTTGCTTTACTTTGCAAACGCAGCGCGGCGCATCGCGATAATGTATCAATAGTATCAATAAGCAATTATCGGCATTCTTTGTGCGCCCGTGCGTCGTGGCACGCCGTTTTAATGCAATTTACACATTGATCGCGCGCGCAATCGCAATTGTAATGCGGCGTAATTGCGATTCGCGGACGCCGCGAGCGCATCCGACAAAGAATTCTAAGATGTTCTCCAGCCGGAGGAGGCAACATTTACAATTCGATCAATTAATTACAAGTAGTACATCTTGTACTTCTACATGCACTGCATGCGCTTGTACTACACACGTGTGCATTGATCACAATCAAAAAAAAATTATTTGCCTACAAACTTTATTTAAATTTATTCTGCATACAAAATATTTGATTCTGGTTAAAAATATAAACAAATTATTAAATTATATCAACATGACAAGTTGCACGTGCGTCGTTTACACCGTTCACACGTTTGTTTCGCGTTTCATTCATGAACAAGAAGATGGTTTGCAGGACGGAATAGTTACACGCACCGGTAGCTGCCTAAACACGGTGTAATAGATGTGTATGCGTACGTCTGAGTGTGTGTTGGCCGCGCCCGTTTAACCGCATTTAACGACGCACGCACGTTTCTTGTGTAAAATAAAATGTACATGGCGTGCAGCAAGTCGTGCATCTTCAGCGCCATCGACATGCAACTGCTCTCCACTTGTGCTTGTTGTAAGTTTCAAGTTCAGCGATAGATAACGAGGTGCATGATGCGTGTTGGTGTGTCTTGCCGAAGAAGACACGAAGACTGAGGACGTGCCAACGTGTTGGTAATGTGCGCGCACGCCGCGAAACTAAACTTTACTAACTTTATCGTCGCTTTGCGAATAACTTCATGCGAGACAAGACTTGCAGCGATGTTTAACATCTAACATTTTTATTTTTAACATTTACACTATAGCATTGTGTGTTATTGCGGTACATTATAGGTTTGGTATTTTTCTGTCATTATCACGTGACTGAAACTATAGCAAACATGTATAACCTATTTTGAGAAATCCAATTTGCAATCGTCTGCACCTTCTGTTTTTCATTTTCGCTTATTTTCTTATTTACTATGTATTTATACATCATCGATGCATCTTTGCGCGTCTCTTCTACGTCCGCACCGTCGATGGTTGTTATGAAGCCATCGCGCCGAGTATTTGCACAGCGGGAACGGCATCCGACTCTGTCGCTATCGATGCTAATTACCATTACTTGTTAACGAATATAATTATTAGTGCCGCGCGCTGGCTGGCGATTGCTTTATTTCTCGCCTTATTTTATCACTGCGTGCGCGTAAAATTGCATTTTACGACGATAACGACGATCAAATGGCCCGTTCCGGAAATTACCTTTGCTCTCCGGCTCATCTTCGCTGTGGATTTAATACTTCGCGCTAGTTTACCTGGCGTGGCGCTTGTTTACATTTTTACTGCACGTTTTTTTTTTTTACCTTTTTCGAAAATGATTGCATCTGTAGTCTTCTTCACATCCTTTGCACATCGCAAATGAATCGTAAAAGTGTAGCATTCTTCTCGCTCTATTAATCGCGGCCCTTCTCGCGAAGTGCAATGTGCATGTGGATGTTGATCGGCGCAGAGTAGGTATTCATTAATATAATCCGCTAACCGAACGCGAATTTTCTTTCTTGCGCGCAACTCGTGCTCGACATCACGACTCCTCAACTTCCTGCATCAAGCGTCAAACTCCCTTTCTCTGCCCGAGTGTTGAATTCGCGCAACCTTTCGTTCAGCGGACGCGAAACGTCGCAACTTCTGTGCTACTCATGCTCATGTCGACGCTAATAGACCATTGCGCCCGCAGAACCATTAAATAAACCATCGACAAACATTCACTTCGTCTATTACCTTCGAACGTACTCTGGCGGCGTCGTTGCCGCAGCCATTTTTCATTGTGCGAGCTAGTTTATTATCTCGCATTTTCGAGGTGTAAAAGTGCGACTCGTGACGAGCGCAGCGTTTAAAATTTTCGCCCAAAGAAGCGTGGCGGAATTAGACGCTAATAGAATATTATCGGACTACTATCGGCTTTAATTTGCATTAACTACACTGGGAAATTGGGAGTTAACGAAGCATGGCATTAATTTAAATCACATAAAACCGTTGAAAGGAAATTAAACTTTCGGTTAAAAGAGGGCGCAAACAAAACTACCTTTAACCTATAAAACCTTTAAACGTCGAATACAATTGAAATTTTATTGTGTAAAACAGAACAACTGTGAAATCTTCATGTAATTATCTTAAAATTTAATTTTCTCACCTGATTTGTGAGTAAATACTGAATAATTCCATTCAAATCAATTTTTTTCCTCCTATTTACTTTCTAAACAGTTGGTAACATGAGTAACACGTGGAATAAATTTATTCACGTCTGTATGCAAATAGGAAAAGTAGCTCTAGGTGTTTTCCGTTGTCCTAGGTACCTCTGCCTAGGTGAAGGTAGTGCCGTTTACTGCGCTCTCGCCGGATCGATCGGTAGCGCCGGACTTCATTGATAATTGACCATAGATAAAAGTGCCATTGACTCAAATTGCGCGCACACTGTGAGCGAACAAAAATAGTAACCACTAAG